GAGTAAACCGATAATAAGCATCAGAATATTCAAAATAAATTGGAAACTTGGGTGTGTTCATGTACTTAGTATAAAATGACCAACACACCCAAGTCCAATGTGCATAAACATTGTCAATAGTTCTACAACATAATCAAACAACATAAGCTAAAATTGTTCAAAAAGTAATAAAATTAAACTAATAAAAACTGTGAAAACTTCACAATGATGTCGTAGATGCATTATCGATCAATCACTGTCACTAATTGTCTCATCTTCATCTTCTCCTTTGTCACCTTCCTTTTATTCTTATTCATCTTCCACTTAGGCACGTGCCCCTTGCTCCACTACCACTAGCATCGCCACTTCCCACTCATAATATAATGGCCTATTAGTGGGCCAATTCAAATAGCTAATGAACTCATTCTAAATAGGTACTAGATAAAATGAAACACGTGGTTCTTGCATCCTCATTTGCAACACATTTAGAGAATCATTAAGAGATAATATAGCTCTATGGTATTCCCTCAGTGACATCCTAACTATTTTAGAAATAAGATCTCATAGCAGGATCCATGTTATCAAAGTTTGTTGCTTCATGTCGAGGTTGAGTAGGTGCAACATGAGGCTCTAGTGGTGGCGGTGGTGGAGGCGTCCTCTCCCTACGACCTATATAATATCATGCAATGAAAGTATCATTTAGCTTAGACATTTTCCTGATATGATGGTTATCATGAATGTCTACACCATAATGCTTGCCTAATCCAATGATCAGTCCAATGAAGCAAAATGCATGTTTCTTAGTGGAATATACAATCTCCTCAATCTTATTGAACATTACCCTTACTACGTCTAATTGCTTCCTTTTCAAGATATTAGCTACACAGTCTTCAAGGTACCAGAGGATGTGTGGCTCACAAGAGTAATATTATTCAAAAGGAATGTAATATAAATTTGAGCTTGGATGGTCATGTCAGATCTCTTTAAACAGATAAGAAGTCCATATCTTCTTTGCCGATAAGTTTTTCCCGCTTCGTAGATGTTAGCAGCGATTTCATCACAGTCCAAATTTCCTTTTGTTATATATACTGTGAATGGGTCCGACCTTCTAGAGTGCGCCATATGTTTATCTTCTATATAGGCATGTATGTCATGTTTATCAAATGGGACATGTCAGCCTCGTACCCAAAAAACCTTTGTCATTAGTGCATCATCAGTGGATTTGGCATTTGCTTAGAACTCCCCCACTGGTTGACAACTTTATTAGGTGTTTCTATAATACCCTAACCCTATGTGTTTATCTCCTACACCATATCATAATATTCTCTCGGATCTTCCAACTCAAGTATATTCTCTTTGACTAAATTTCTGCTTTCCAACTTAGTGTAAAATTTCTCATAAATTAAGCTTCTAAACATCCGCTCGTCATACAATATGGTAGATGAGTTGATGCCTGAAATTTGTCTTTTCCTTTTGATTTTTGAACTTTTATAAGCCATTTAAAACATTCACCAAACACCAAATATGGAGTTCGACATGTTAGAGAACATGACGCAACTCTATAATTAAAAATTACACGAATATGTTTTAATAGAGGAACATCTATGTACTTACATGCAATGGGTTATTTCTCTCCTCACATCCATTCAACACCCATATGTCTATAAAATACCCTCATTTTTCATCCTAGAACATCCAAATTAAGTGTTAATGAAATCAATCATTATTTATCCTATGTCAACAGCATGAAGCAATAAAGTGTACATAGTATATTCCTAAATCAGAATCAACATTTTTTTTGCAGAAATATTCATAACATATAGGAGTTTAAGCAAAATAGAGTAAAATGACATACCTGAGAAATCTCTAAATCTAGTTAAAATACAAATTAATGATGTTTTTATCTTTGGATGTAGTTTTTTTATGTGTGCTAGAGTTTTATTTTACATATGGAAGAGGTGGAAAGAATGAAATAAAATGATTGGAGGGGTTAATTTTAAGTCTGGTTGATGTTCTCAATTTTCTATAACGAGTCTCTCTCTAGGCGAGCTGAGTTGCGTTATTCGAGGGCTCATATTTTGATTTTGGTATTTCCCTTGGGTGTGCTAGGCACGGAATGGCCTAACCATTTTGCGCTTAGAGAGCTAACCTTTTGTTGGCTTGGAATTTTGCTTTCATCAATGTATTTTTAAATGAAATAACTAAGCTAACGACTATTTTAAAGAAAATTTGTATAATATGGTTGGGTTGCCTCCCAACATGCACTTGTTTAACATAAGTAGCTTGACAATGATCACTATTACATAATACTAATTACCTTATAACATACCTTAAAATCTTTGATTCTGACCATTACTTCACCTTTATCAATGTACTCGAGCATCTCACAGTTTTCATGAATGATCTTCTTAAAATGATAGACATCTTTGGATCTCCTTTATTGTCTAATATCACAAAGTCCAGAAGAAAAAAAAAGAACTTACTAACATGTATTCGTACATATTTCATTGTTCTCACTAATGTCTTGCATGTTTTGTCTGCCATTCATAATGTTGATGTAGACGACTCTATTTACAAATACCCATTTCTTTCTACCCCTGATAATGGTATTATATTCACACTCGCGCCTAAATCAATAAGTGCATTTATAACATTCATAATACCTATGGAAACAAATAATACCACTGCCCTAAGATCAACTTATTTATTTGGTATATTTCTCTACTATCTTTGCAAGTTTCATCCTGCAATTATCTTTACTCTAGTCCTTTTTGTCCTTCTTTTCTAGCATTGACAATAATTCTTTTATCCACGAGAACAACACTATAATGGTCCTTCTAATTGTTCTTCGTATTTTCATTGAATGAGTTACTTAAGAGATCTAACAACTAATTGGCTAACTGACCCGCATGTGTTTCAAGGTTTTCAATGGAAGCTTCGATATTTTTCTGACTAAGTATTTGAGGCTTGAGTGAAATGTGGACAAGGTTGCCTCTAGAAAGTTAAAGGTGGGTTTCCCTATGATGACGTTGTAAGGGGACACGACATCTACCACGAGATACTTTACTTCAATTGTTCTAGCACCCGTCTTAGAGCCAAACATTATTTTAAGCGTTATATGAGTTTTTACATGTACATGTTCGCCTAAAAGGCCAATCAAAGAACCTTTGAATGCTCAGATGTTTGGCGATCGAGTTGGAGCCTTTGGAAGGTGTTATAAAACAAGACATTTGTTGAGCTACCAAGGTCGATTAATACCCGTTTCACGTAAGGGGTGATAGGGGTGTACATGGGTTGGGTAAACACATAAAAATCCATTCAAACCCACCAAAATCGATTCAAAAAAGTGGGCTTGAACGCGTAAATGGGTCAATATGGTTTTTGAAAATGAAAAACCGTTCAAAATATATGGGTTTCGGATAAACCCAAATCCAACCCATAAAACCCACTCAACCAACAAATTTTACCAATAACTACTATATATTTTTGTATTTAATTCTCTTGATGAATTAACATATGAACTAATATTTATAATCTTATCATTGAAATTTGGTTGAAGATATTAATGTTGAAGTCAAGACTTCCTTTTGAGTTGTGGAGGATATTTGAACAATGTTTTTTACTTTTTCTTTTGTAATTGGATGATGACTCTGATGTATTCATATTTGATTGGTTCAATTTTAGGCTCTTATTTTGTGAGTAATGATTTTGAACTATTTAGGATATTTCACTTTGATTATTTTGATGCCAATACTAGTGAGTTATGAGTAATTTATGTAGTTATATTTATAGGTACTACCATAATACAACTTTGATTTTTACAAATATTTTTATTATAAATTTTATAGAATGTTTAGATATTTGATGTTAAAAAATAGCGCTAATATGGCTAAAGTATTTTTTTAAATAGTTGAGATATTTTTTGAAAAATAATATGACACATCATTTATAATTATATATGTAAAAAAGAAAAAAAAAATTGGGTGATCCACTACCGAACCCAATCCACCCCACAAATTTACGGTTTTACCCAGACCGATCCAATGATGTTGTGGGTGGTTATTTTATTTCACCCAAACCGGTATATTTTATGTGATTTGGATTTTAGTTATGGCCAAATCCAACCCAAAAACCGACCCATGTACACCCCTAAGGGGTGATAAGCTCTGTGTATGTGGTTTTCTACGTGAGAATGAAATTGTCTCTCTCAACTATATCATTGAGATATTTATATCCGTCCTCGACCAAGATCCCAGATCTTTTGAAAATAATAACTGCTATTGAAAAAATGCAGGAATAGACAATTAACCCACCAATATTTTTGAGAATATGGTCAAATAACCCCTTCTTTTTGTTATGGGGGAGGGACTCATCATTTTACCACTTCCCTATTTTGGACCACCATTCCTAAAGGGAGGCGACATGTTTAATGAAAAATGTGACATATATAGTAAACGAACGTCCAAATTAGACAACAGGCCATCAAAGAGGCCATATGAACTCAACTCGAATCCCTTACCTTTACTTTTGTCTCGCTCTTTATGGACCCTTTTAAAATATACCAATACAAAATTATATATCTTTATACGTAGCTCTCACTCTAAGAGAACAAATTCAAACTTAATACAAGTATACTTAAATTTATTTATTTTAAAAAAATTAAATATAAATGTTTTGTTGAAAAATACAAAAGAATAAAATAAAAGAAGCTTAATGACAATTATTTAAGTTAATTGCTAATTACAAATATACCTAAATTCTATATTTTTCCTAAAATTAAAGAAAAAAAGTTCTAGTTGAAAAAAATAAATAGAAATAAAAAGAAGAAGGAAACCCTAGTAATGATAATTAAAAAATTAATAAATAGGGAAGAGAGGGAGAAGGGCTTTTAAAAGCACAGCGAACATAGAGGATTAGAGAGGCAGTTCCAGACAGTACAATCAATCAAAACCCTCCCCTTCTTCCGGCTAGGTTTTGCTTTTTTGCTGTCATCTTCTTCTTCTTCCCTTTCTCATTTCTCAATGACGAACAACAAAGAAGCTTTCAACATCTCAGATCTCAGTTCCGGTACGTTTCCTTTCCACACTTGTATGTATATCCCCAAATCACTTTCATGTTTATTTATGCAATTTCCTGAATTCGGTTTTGATTTTTCTTTGTAGCTCTCAATGAAGAGGATCGGGCTGACCTAGTCAACGCTCTCAAGGTTTGCATGTTTCTTACTCTTTTTCTCAATTTAAACCCTAGCGGATTTTGTAACTTTTTTTGTAAACTTTCGTGCTTTATTCTAACCCTAATTTTGAAAAACCCTAATTTTGTACATTTTTGTGTGTGTTGGGTTTATGTTTTAATGATTTGATGAAGTGTTATTTATTTATTTTTTGTTTTTGTTCAATTGAATATGTGTAGAGTAAGATACAGAGTCTTGCTGGCCAGCACTCCGATGTTTTGGAGAGTCTGTCTCCTGTTGTCAGGAAGCGTGTTGAGGTTCTCAGAGAGATTCAGGTATATTACCCTTTTTATTTATTTATAATTTTGATCTGATGCTGTTTTTAATGGTTAGTGTGTGTTGTTTGATGCTTAATTGTTTAACTTAACCCCCTTACGTGTATTATTAATGAGTTAGTTGAGTTTTATCAGGAGACTCTGCAAAATGGAGATTGAGTGAAATTATCATGGAACTTAACCCACTGCACATTTGTTTAATTTCTTTCTTTGTTTCCAAAATTTGTTTTCTTCATTTTCTTGAACAATGACAACACCCAAGTTAAATTGATTTGAATATAGAGTTTGTGATTTAAAGTTCATTTTGCAAATTCTTTGTTTGTTGGATTTATCCTACGGGGTTTGTGCAAGTTGGGGTGAATCAGAGATCCTCCTGGCACAAAGCATTGCCCTTAACTGTTAAGCCGAGCCTCTCCTTTGCTTAGGGAAATCATTATGTTAGAATAAAATGTATCACCTTAATTGACAAATTAGAAGAAATCACCATTCGTCAGGGATAACTGATTTCCACACCTTGTATATATTCGAATCCTAACATTATACACTTGGAATTCTATTTAGGCTGAGCAAGACTATTCCATTATTGTTTTATTAATCTATTATTATCTTATCTTGTGTGGGTATAAATTGCTTTTATTCTCAATTCTGAGTTAACATTTGAGTTTGCTCTTTATGATATGTCACATGGATCTATCAATTGCTCTTGTAGTTTGTATCTAATCTTCCTAAGATGAGTTTTGTTTTTGACTGTACAGAGTGAACATGATGAACTGGAGGCAAAGTTTTTGGAAGAGAGAGCTGCTCTCGAAGCCAAATACCAAATTTTGTATCAACCATTGTACACTAAGGTATCCTAAAGATTCTTTCATTGTATATTCCTGGTTACCCTGTTTATTTTAATCATGATTAATTTTTCTACTATTTGATTTTAAAAATATTCAATCTGATTTTTATGTGAATATTTGATGTAATATCTTTAATCGCTGGATTTATTTATAATTGGATGCAGCGTTATGATATTGTGAATGGTGTTGCTGAAGTGGAAGGGGTAGCAGTTGAGACTACTGATGCAGAAGAGGATAAAGGTAGTGACTAGGAACTTTCGTACACTATTGAAACTATTGTTATAGGTTTTTTATCTCATCAATTTTCTTGTGTCTTATGCAGAGAAAGGAGTGCCTTCATTTTGGCTCAATGCTATGAAAAACAATGATGTCTTAGGTGAAGAAGTAAGTTCAAAAAGTGTTCAGTATTTAGCTTAAATGCTTGAAGGTTTTTAGCCATAAAATTACTTTTGTAATGATGTTTTCCTGCTTCTTGACAAACTAGATTACAGAGCGTGATGAAGGTGCTCTTAAGTTTCTCAAAGATATCAAATGGACAAGGATCGAAGAGCCTAAAGGATTCAAACTTGAGTTTTTCTTCGATACCAATCCCTACTTTATAAACCCGGTGTTGACCAAAATCTATCATATGGTTGATGAGGACGAGCCTATACTGGAGAAGGCTATTGGGTAAGCTGGTCTTCTTTTACCTATGCTATTGTACTGCTAGTTTTTGGCAGTTTGTAAGGTTTATTTGCTGCATTTTGGTTTTGCAGGACTGAAATTGAGTGGCTTCCAGGAAAATGCCTGACCCAAAAGGTTTTGAAGAAAAAGCCCAAGAAGGGTGCAAAGAATGCTAAACCAATTACCAAAACTGAAACCTGTGAAAGTTTCTTTAATTTCTTCAATCCACCAGAAGTCCCTGAAGATGACGAAGACATTGATGAAGATATGGTATGGCACCTATATAAACTCAAGGCTAAATATGGATATAAAATTGTATACTGTTGCTTGAACAATTTAATTACATTTTAACAGGCTGAGGAACTTCAGAATCAGATGGAACAAGACTATGACATTGGGTAAGCATAATTGCACATTTGCCTTTTACTTTTCTCGAAGCTATGTCTCCAATTTGTATCATGCTCATAATCTGTTCACTCATGATGCGATTGTGCATTTGTAATCTTGAATCTATTCTTAATTGAGTTTGGATGCTTCTTCAGGTCAACAATAAGAGATAAGATCATCCCCCATGCTGTGTCATGGTTTACTGGGGAGGCTGCTCAGGGAGAGGAATTTGGAGATCTGGATGATGAAGATGAGGATGAGGACGATGATGCTGAGGAGGATGACGAAGATGAGGATGAGGACGAAGATGACGATGATGAAGACGAGGAAGAGACTAAGACTAAAAAGAAGGTACAATCTTGATTGAGTTGCTGAAATGTTGGGTTGTTTTTTTATTTAATGTTTGAACTTGAATTAACTCGATTGTGTTTTTTATGTGCCACTTGTTAATTTCCTTTGGAATGTTGCTGCAGTCATCTGCTAGTAAGGTAAAGCCATTTTAACTTTGTGATCTTAATGAAATCATATTAGGTTTTTTTTTTTGGATTTGTTTGCTTGATGGTGTATCTCTCTTACAAGAGAAGTGCTAGCAACGATGGCTTTTTCCACTAATGTATGTATTTGGCACACCCACATAGCTTGTGGAGTATTGAACATAACGTCAAAGAGTGTTGGTATACACTATTTAGTACAAAGTGCTGCCAAATGGCTGCATGAAAACACTAACTTATGATACAGTAGAATAGCAGAGTTCAAAACAAACCACTATTTTATGCAATCAGTGATAGACAATACATTTTCCTAATTTCCATCTTGTGTTATGTGTTTTCAGAAGAGCGGAATCGCGCAGCCTGGCGATGGTCAGCAGGGTGAAAGGCCACCAGAGTGCAAGCAGCAGTAGTTTATTTATTCAGAGTATGGTGCTGCTGAAAGTTGCTTTGGGGTCCTAGTGCCTGATGAAAAAAGAGTTTTCAATTTCATGTGGTTTTTCATGGTCCTTAATTCATTTTCCCTCCCCTTAGTTTTATAGTCAGAATTTATTGAGTCTCTTGCTCCTTTTTGTCCCTCTCCTTTTGGAGAGATGGTGTTATATAGTCAGTGGTGGTGTTGTGATTTACCGGTACTTCAATTTTAGGTCTTCTTCCTAGATACTTAAAGCTTGTGCTTGATTATTACCAAAATTTTTGGTATACTTTGATTAGCAAAACGTTGCTACAAGTTTTCGCGTGAGAAGAAATATTGTAATGATTTTTTCTTCTAAGTGCATGTTACAATTTTATTATTTGTATTCGGTTTTACTTGAGAAAATGAGATTTCGAATGCTAGTTTTTCTTTTCAAATTTATGCACAAGATTTAGAGATTTTTTTTCATTATCTGTTTATAATTTTTTTAAATAAAAGTTAGTTATAATGAAGTGTTACGTTCCTAATAAAAGTTTTGGATAATGTTGTGAAAGCTTTGTTTTCTTTCCATTATCTTTTGTATGACTTTTCTTTTAACGAAAATCTAACTTAAATAAAAGTATTACTTTTCTAATAAAAGTTTTGAAAGATCTTATGAAACAAGAAATGATCTGAGTGGTGAAATGAGCTTTTAAGCCGATTTTTTACGCACAAGTTTATATATATATATATATATATATATATATATATATATATATATATATATAACTTTGGAAGGATTCTCTTCCCACTATATGTGCACCCGTGAAATCTTTCACGTATTTAAAATTATTTTCATTCCATAGTTTTTATTGTTTGAAGATGCATCTTCAGTAAAGAGGGCAATGAGTAAGTTTGAGCACAATACTATAGTACAATATTCTCATACTTGACCCTATATTATATTCTCATACTTGACCCTATATTTGCATGTGCATCAATGTTTGTACCCATATATTATGGGTGTCTAAGTTCTTAAATCTGTGGTTTAGAAATATTTTCTTATTTGTACTCATCCGTCTATTTGTATTTTTAATATAAAAAATTATCGATCAATTATAATTTATCATGTTACTTTAATTTTTAACATTAAAAATTTGTTGAGGATGTTATTGTTTAGTTAAAAAATAAATAAATATTCATATTAAAATATACACAAATTTAATAGTGATGTATTGAATAAAATTGTTAGATTAATAATAAAAATAAAAATATATAAATATATATTGTGTAGGTATGTGGTAGACTGTATCCGTAACCATTTTGTAGGTTTTTATCATACCCGTTGTGGATAAACTTTACGGGTTTTCATTAGGGAAGAGTATAATTGACATCCTTAATTTTCATATACTATTTTGGTGTATCTTGAGATGCATCTCTGAAATATTTCCTGAATCATTTTAGAATATCACCATTGTCCCAACATCATAACTTTTTGAGACCAACTTATATTAAAGTAAAATCAAAATAAAATGAAGTTATATTAAAGTTAAATGAAAGTAAAAAGTCATACATTAATATAAAAAGGAAGACCATATATAACATTTGTCCGAAAATACAAAAAAGTAATAATCCAACATAAACTAACTATTGGGTATGTCTAACCCCTTGCCTCCTCCTCCGTCTGTACTGTACGATATTTCGTAACTCGGCAACCATGTTATTCACGAAGGCCAACTAGGGATTGCCATCTTCTAAGAGTCTTGCCTTTATGGCTCCTTTATCCATCTTCGCAAAACACCAACATTCGTCGTCACGCTATCGACCTTCTCATCCTGAACCTCAAATACCTCGACCTAGGTGGTCAAGTATCATGATAGGGTGTGACACATGATAGAATCATGACATGTAACCCTCAGTATACGCCCATTGAAAAGGAGCTGACTCCCGATGACACTCTTTTGGTACCAAGTCACTCTCGAAATTATCTAGTATCACTTATAGATCTCTGCGGCATACGCCGGGAGGAACGAACTCTTGGGGAGGTCTCAGAATAATTTGCAAGTAGCCAAATTGGCGTATCACTCACTCAGGAAGATAGAGATATATAAGAGATGATACACATGTTAATATAAGGAATTGCCGTCAAATTGACGTGTGTGGCGGTGACCTTCGTATGGGCAGAAGCACACGTCCTTATAAGAACAAGATTTGGTTCTACATATGGCCTTTGAGTTTTGATGATAACTGCACAAGTTATCTAAGAGAACAATTATGTATGATATGGTTTTTGTCTAGTGTGTGACTGTTGTCAATATGATTCTGACTCTCATAAGAAGACGTGTGAGGTCATCAAACTCTATTATCAGCACTTTTGAAGAAAACATATGTGTGTACAAGATAAAGTCAAGATTCAGGAATGTTTATAATATAACGGTTCTAATGAACGCTAGTTCTAAACATTATAATTGAGACTTTATGAGAAAGGCCTATAAGGATTTCTAATGTGATGTACTTCTAATGTTACAAGTTCTGAAGATTCTGAAGACGTGATTCAGGTGAACATGGTTCTGAAGATTCTGAAGAAACAATATATGAAGGTCAAGTTCTAAAGAGTTTCTGAAGACAAGGTTCAGGTGAACGAAGTACTGAAGATAAGAATGTGCTTAATGAATTCTAAAGACTTTAAAGACGAGGTTCTGAAGAATCAGAAGATATTACTTACAAAAGAACGAGTGTTGAAAATTCTCAAGATAGTTCTGCTGAACAAAGATTTTGGAATTCTGAAGACTGGGTTTCTAAAGTTGCAAAAAATTGACTCTTCTACAACATGCTTCATCAACGTATTATTTGAAGCCGCTGAAGACATTAGAAAGACTAAAGATAAGAATGGTTTTGAGCTGAACACAAAAATACAAAAATTATGACTTCTACCTCGACAAGGTGGCGCAAGAGTAGCCTTTTGTACAGTGATGTTGACCATTCCTTCATGTGAACGTTGGGATATCGCTGTTGGAATATGTTTTTGAGAATTCCCCTCAACGGATCTATTTTCTCAAGCTCTATAAATTGAAAATCAAGAAGCTTGAAGAATAGATGGTTGCAAGATGCTAGTTGCTGGTCACCGGTGATAGCACGCTGCTATGTAAAGCCAAAATGCTGAAGAAAATGCTACAAGTTAAAGCTTAAATAAAGAATGCTCAATGAAGAAGAAGCTGAAGCAAACTGGTTGAATGTGTGTACAACGATGCAACATGCTAAAACCATGTATAACTAGTCAAGTAAAACATCAATAAGTGAAACATAGTAGCTTAGTTGATCTTGATGGTTAAGCTGGAAAGAAGCATTACATTCTCAAGAAAGGAGTTAATCAAAAGAAGCTTAAAGCTCATGAAAAGAAGTCGTAGTGCTCATCAAGAAAGCTTTTAAGCAATACAAAACTAATGTTTTATAATCTCTCAAAGATTCATTCTTTAGATAGTTTTGTATTAGAAAGCAAGAAGTTGTTGCTCAAGAACTTGCTAGAAACACTTAGGTGTTCATGTATTTCATTTGTGTAATCATCTTCTAAGAAGCATATTAGTGCAAAATAAAATCTTTGTAAAAGGTGTTGTTTTTTGAGCAGTCAAGTGAAAACCAGAATGCTTGAGAAGACTAAGCGTGTTTCTAACAGCTTAGTGGATGATGTTCCTTGAGCGGCTAAGTTGTTAGCCAAGATGATTTAGATGCCCATGTCATTTTCTAATGGCTTGGAGATTAATTCCTTGAGAGGCTAGTGAGAGCCAGGATTCTCAAGAAGGCAATGGAAGGTATCCATTATGGTTGTAATCATTGATGATTATTGGATTAAGTCATTGTCTAAGGCAAAATCACCTTAGTGGGTGGACTGGAGTAGCTTCGTTAACAGTGAACCAAGATAAAAATAATTGTGTTCATTCATTTTTATTTACTTGTTAATGTCATTAGTTTAATTCCGCAAAAGGGGACGGAATGTGAAACTCAATTCAAACCCATTTTCTTGTGTATCTCAACCTTCAATTAGTATCAGAGTTATGGTTCTATTATTGATGTTTATCAAACACCTAACCGTGTCAGATAAAGATCTAAACGATCCTTGAGAAATGCTCTGGATAATCTTCTCCACCATCTACAGTTTCAGTCTTATTCGATGATGAAAAGATTGAGTACCAAAATGAAAAACCAGAAAGGTTCTTTATGGATTATGTCACTGATTCTTAGAGCTGGTTATTATTGACAACATAATCTTCTCTTATGGCGCTTGTAAAAGATTAAAATCAAGATAAAGAATCAGCTGGTAAAAGGATAATTGACGCATCAGATAATTAGAAGAATCTGATGAGTGTTATTCTTGAAATACGTCAGTTGAAAGCTATGTATCTACTCAAGGTGATGCCTAGACAAGGCTTAAGAAGAATGATCTAGAAGAGATCAATAAGAATAATCAGAAAGCAAGAAATCTTGTTCGATGAAGGTTAATTATTTTTATGTATGTAATGTTTTCAACAAATAGACTTGGTCTACCGTTGACTTTCTCAATATTGCTCATTAGGAACTCTTTCATGTAAAGAAGAGACAATACTCGTTCATGATTCTGAAGCATGGAAACTTCAAGATGAAATATGCTGAAGATGTTAGAAATATTGTCATCAAGATTTTAAATCATGACTGCAAATAAGCATTGGATATGGCTATCAGTGTTCTGACTACCTGCTCTAGAAACTTTGCAGGATTCTAAAGTGATCAGAAGGGAAGTTTTTCCGTTGTCAGAAGTGCATTCAAGAAAGAGCAACTTACAATTTTCTAATCATTGTCGTATGTGTGTCTATGAAGAGAATTGGATGAAGCATAAGACAAATTAAGTCATGTTAGCTTGAGAAAGGCATCTCAGTTGAACAAGCTTAAGCTTGTTAGAATGTTACCAAAAGTTTCTTTTCAGAAGCTACTGATACATGAATGCATCCTTCTGTGTTCACTACTTTCTAAACTCAAGTGACTGAG